GGACATAAAAAGCCATGGAGCAGTACACCACTGCCACCACAACCACTGGGGAGCAAATTGTTGTGCAGACAGCTAATGGACAGATCCAGCCTCAGGTGAGTGAGGATGAGTAGTTTAGTCTCATTTACTCTATGTCTCAGTTCTTTCTTCTTACCTCCTTCTTGCCTCCTCTTATTTCAGAAATCCTCAGCTGTCAGTCAAATGAGCCATATTATGATTTTAAAGCCATATGCAGATCAGAAAGGAAAAGACAGGGAAACAAGTGAGAAACATGGCTAAGGGTTTGCATAAGAAAGATAATAAAGATAAAAAATTTGTCCCACAGCAGGAAAATCTCATTAGTTCTACAGCAAAGTAACATCAAAGGTGGAAGGTACACGAACAAGGAGCAAAATGTCTAAATTAAATGTGAGATTAAAGTTTTTAGAATTTGTTGAATTTGTAAATAAAGAAATTTGTCTCACTTTGAATAAAAAGTCTAATGAAAATAACTCTTGTCCCATTTACAAGCATCTCTCCTGCCTTAGCATCTGGATTCTATCCATATTCATCATGTCTCCTTTGTAGCTGGGATTTCCTCCCCGATTTCTTGCAGAGAGATTGAGGAGGCCAAGAAATAAGGAAAGAGAATTGAGATGTACATTTTAATCACAGTTAGTTGTTGCCCAGTTAGACCAGGCCCTGAACTAACGCTACCGAGTTTCTGAAACTTTATATTGGTGCCTTGTCTGCAGACACAGGGCACAGTTACAGCTGTGCAGCTGCAGACAGAGGCGCCTGTAGTGACGGCCTCCGGCCAGCAGGTGCAGACACTCCAGGTAGTGGTGTCACCGCCGCCCTGTGTCAGAGCCATCTGAGCATCAACGCAGACATGCATGCTGCTCTCAGGACTGTCCCATCTGAGTGGTGTTTGTTCATCCCAGCATGTTCAGCCCCATACAATGCATGTGTCTGCAGTGTGTGATGGCATCAGTTTCAGCGAGTTAATAAACATCAGCCAACATTTTACTGTTGCTAGCGGTTTTTCTTTTTGAAATTTTTGTACCAGGTATTTTACCTTTTTGTAACAAATTCAAGACTATTGAAAGCACTTATTCACGCAAAATCTCTTGCAGTTGAACACAAATTTTTTCTTCTCAGACATTTAAGCTCAAGGACCTTTTTTTCTACTATGTAACTGATATAAAGAAATTGTCTATTGTGTGGGAAAATTAAGTGGGAAAATGTCATGACTTGAAAATATAACATTTTTCATTCATATTTTTCCTAAAGTTCTGTGTCATCAACTGTACATGTTTGTCATTTTTACATAATGGCTTTGCTATTGTTCATGTCTGTGCAATCAGTTCTGAATGCACTTCTCCTGAAATATTTAAGTTATAGTATGCTATCCTGTAATGTATACAACAGTACCCATGGCGTGTCTAGCATGAGTCCATGTGCTCTGTTTCAGTGTCAGTCAAATAGAAATGGTGCAAAAGTCAGTCAGATCTAACAACGGGTGTTGTTGTTGTTTACAGGTTCAGGGGCAGCCTTTAATGGTCCAAGTGAGTGGTGGACAGCTCATCACATCATCAGGACAACCCATCATGGTTCAGGCCATGTCAGGGGGACAGGGACAAACCATAATGCAGGTCCCTGTGTCAGGAGCTCAGGGACTACAACAGGTGAGATGCTTCCATACAGACCTGGGAGAAGCTTTACTGTTGAGTTTAAAATTCATATTTGTTCAGTAGTTATATTTTTAGATTTGAGAAATGCTCTTATATCGTGTATTATCTTTAATTATTGATCATTTATTTTCTGAACATCTTACAGCAACCGGCCAATGGGGTTACAGAGAAAGTTAGTCACTGTGAGAAATGTAGTGCATTGTTTTACTTCCTGTCAGATGACAAATGTTTTTTCAGATGCTTTTTAGGCATACATTTCTGTTCAAAATGTAGTACATGAGGACTGAACAAAGAATGAGAATAATTTAATAATTTAATAGAATACAGTTAAAAGCACTACTGTGTTAAAAGCACAGTAAGCACTACTATACAGATTAGATTAAAAGGATTGTAGGACTAAAGTGGACTAAACCAAAATATGGATATCAAATTAAAATCTTGTCAAATTTAAGTAAACACTAAACTTGAACAATAAACTTAAGTAAACATTATTTTCCAAATTTGTTAAAGATCCAGCTTGTGCAGCCGGGACAGATCCAGTTACAAGGTGGACAGACACTGCAACTCCAGGGTCAGCAGGGCCAGCCTCAGCAGATCATCATTCAGCAGCCCCAGACAGCCATCACCGCCGGCCAGAACCAGGTACTTATAATACTACTATAATTATTACTTCAAAGATGTTCATTACGGTCCATCTACTTTATATATAAATGTACATAGCTAACCCGCTAGCTCCTTCTGACTCTGGTTTCCTTTAACTTACTTTGAAATATTGTCTCCTCTCTCTCTGTAACTGTTACTGTGAGCCTCATCATTTTGGTCTTAAAATGTTCATATTAACCCACTCTGCATGATCCTAGTGTTTTTATTTTTATGTTTTGTTTATTAAAAAATCTGGCTCCAAATTCACCCCTGTAACCATTAGCATCATGAGCTTCATTTGACTGGAGCTGAACACTGTGGGTGTTGTCACATTCACATAGTCCACTTCTGTATACAGTCTGTCTTACGGTCTTCCAATATTTCCATATAAAGGTTCTTTTTAACTGACCCATGTGGTGTTCACACAAACCTTGACATTTTGGATGCCTTCTGCTTCGTTCTGCCGAAGGGTCACGTGATGTTCTGGTGGCATGTCTGGCAGCTGATTTACATTTTGGCAATATTCTCCTACCTCCATTGGTAGCCTGCTTAATCCACTGTTTTTGTATGAAATACTAAGTATAAACAGGGAGGGATCTTTACATTGCTTTTACAGGGGCAGCAGATCAGTGTTCAGGGCCAGCAAGTGGCGCAAACTGCTGATGGGCAGACGATTGTATACCAGCCTGTCAACACAGATGGCACTGTACTTCCACAAGGTAATTAAACCATTTCTACAATGAAGAACTAAAATGTGGGGTCACCGTTAATATAATATTTCATGCCTGTGTAGGAATGATCACAATTCCTGCAGCCAGTTTAGCAGGAGCCCAAATCGTACAAGCAGGGGGCGCTAACACCAATACCACGAACAGCGGCCAAGGCACTGTGACCGTCACCCTGCCCGTCTCCGGCAACATGGTGAATGCAGGTGGAATGGTCATGGTAAGGCCCGGAGCTGAGGTACACAACATCCTTCTTCACTTTTAATACCAGCTCACGTGTTGGTGGATCATGTGGTGGGGTCACACAAATCAGGGAAATGTATTTAATTATCACATTTCACTTGCATGGACTGATTTTAAAATTAAAAATAATAATTGCAACAGTTTGCAAGCTACATTTAACGACTTGTTTCCCTGTATTAGTAATTGTGATTCTTTGAAATCTAGGAGAATATATTGACTTTTTAAAAATGTTTTGATTATTTTTAAATTTATATAATTATGTTGTGGGCTCAAGAATCACAATAATCCATTATTAGACATCCGTATATTGTATATAGTCATGTATCAGTATTTTTTCACATATGCCATCTAATGTATTTCTCTTGTATCATCATTGCTTGTACATTGAGAAGCCTGTGCCTCATGTTATTGTCAGATGGTGCCTGGAGGAGGTGGTGTTCCCACAATGCAGCGGATTCCTCTCCCCGGAGCAGAGATGTTGGAGGAGGAGCCTCTTTATGTCAATGCAAAACAGTATCACCGTATCCTGAAGCGGAGACAGGCCCGAGCAAAGCTGGAGGCAGAGGGTAAAATCCCCAAAGAAAGAAGGGTGAATAGCTTAACACACTGTTTTATTTTTGCTGAGCAAATGTGCATTATGTTGAAAGTGACAAATATTGTTTAGTAAATTTTTTTTTTTTTGTCATTTTAAGAAATATCTACATGAATCTCGACATCGTCATGCTATGCAGCGCAAGCGAGGAGACGGTGGGCGCTTCTTTTCACCTAAGGAAAAAGAGGAAGCTTTAGGACTTTCACAGGTTAGATCATTTTAAACATTTCTGCCCATTGTATGCATTCTGTGTTTATGACTCAACAACTCCAACAACTTTTTCTATCTAGGACATGGGTGCAGGAGATGAAACGGTCTCTCAAATGATCAGAGTTTCGTAGCACAGACACGGACACAAATTCGCCTCCTTCAGTGACTCCCTTCCCCCGTCCACTGTGTACCTTATGCCCTAACATCACAGCCTCACCCACAGACCCCCTTTGATCCTTACCTGGGCTTCCACTCCACTGGCCAATTAAGTCCCTGGACTGCTCCCAAGAGTATGTGGAGGACACGTCCACGCTCAGCTTTGATGGGTTGGGCATTTATTATTTTTGTTTCTATTTTGGTTTTGAGTTGTATTGAGACAAAGACAAGAAGTGGTGAGGGTAAAAGCCATTTCTGTCAATTTTGGTGTAAACCATTTTCTCACATGTAAATTGCTTCATTTATGGTAAGTGCTGCAGCCTTTCTAAGTGTCTTTTATGTGACTTTTTCGTCATTGTGGATCCACCTGGATTTATTAAGGACAGATCTGTTCTATATATTGCACAGAAACTTTTTCCCCCAGCATGTATTCAGCATAGTGCTTTCAGTGGATACATTTTTTACTAACTTGTAGATAAACATATTGTTAATAGCTAAAAAAAAAAGGCAGGTGTTTTATCACCTAACACATACTTTTGTGTACTTGCAAATTAAGTAGTCAGTCCACAGTGTTTTGCTTTTTTGTAATGTAACTGTAATTGTATAATGTTTTTTATAATTAAAAAAGGCTGGATATTCCATTCATGAAACATGGATTAAATTTTATTAAGTGACCTTTTGTGATTCTTTAATCATCAATCTAGAGATCATATGTGCACACAAGAGATTTTCAGAAGTCTCAGTTTCTACTTTTTACCTCTATGATTTGCAATGAATATGAAGAAAGGATTTAAAAAAGGCCTTAATGCACAGGTGCAATACATTGTATACTGTACATTCTTAAGAAGAGTACTGGGTAACAAGATTTAACATCTGATTTATTTAGTTTGTGTATTCATTCAGATTACACAATGTTTAAGTTAGCCTTAATATTGGATATACAGACAAATACACAAGTTTTGTGTTTTACCTCATAAATGTAAATATAGACTTGTTATAATCAGATGTTCCGATTAGACACAGCTTTCTTATGTTTGAACTCCCTGAGGTTCATCCTGTTCCATGCTTATTGTCCAATCAGATCCCGAGGATTATAGTTTGCTGTGACTGTCAGCCAATGAAATTGAAGAAGGCGGGACATGTACGCAACCTTGAACGATCTCTATCTCCTTCTGTCGTCAATAGAAAACCAACCTAATGTTTTTAGAGTGATTTTGGCTAACTATTAGAAATGTCCACCAGACAGTTTATTCAGTTCATGTCAATCAGGGGAAGAAGTACCCGGAGCAGAAGCCCGCCTCCTGTCCGCCTGCCTGCCCTCTTGTTCAGGTGACAGCCCCAGCGCAACGCCCCCTCCTACTCCTCTGAGATGCTGCTGCCTGTGGATGACAGCTGAAACAAGTGCACGCACTTCTCCAACACCAGAGCACGGATAGGAGCCCATTTTCATTTACGCTTTACTGATCGTTTTTCATCTCTACTGCAGCAGACCAACCATTGCTAATACTAAACTAGCTTTCTCCGCTACCAGCAAACTGCAGTGCATGCGATGACAGATTCGGAGCTAGACGGAAAGACGGAGGTCAAACAAGGCACAAAATATGTCAAAGAGACCGAAAATGTGGCGGAGAAATATTCCGCGTTGACTGTGAGCAAGAACAGCAGCGACGTGAACATGAACGTGGGTGAAGTGTCCTCCGCCGCGTTCTCCGCAGTGCCTTCCATGAAGTCCGTCAAGAAGGTAAGAAACGTGATCCTCCTTCTTCCATCACTCACTACTGTACCCGGGCAAAGGCTGAGCTCAGCCGGACACAGCAGTCAGGACCACGGGAGAAACTGCAAGGCTACTGTAGGCTACTGATAATTACTGCGTAGTGCGCATCGATTTAGGCTACAGTGTTATCAACAGTAACTTTTGAGTGCTGCAAATCCGAATGGGACATTCGTGGTTAAACAGAGGCACCAGCGAAGAACTAAAATGGCACTCATTCAACATAAACGCGATGCAAATGACTATATCTCCAACACTGCGCTACCAGGGAGACATGTTGTTTGCCTTTAATTAATAGTCCTGAATTTGTTCTTATTTCTAGTCTGAATGTTCTACGCCTTTAAAGTTATATTTTGCTTGATTAGGTTATTAGATGCAGCAAACTGTCATAATCGCAGTCATCATTGTACAGTGATGCTGCAGTAATCCAAACCTTCAGCCGGGTACTGTGTGTCACAGCTCTGTCCCACTTGGATCACTCAGCCAAACTGCAACGTGACAGCTAATCTTTAGACTCTGCTAAGAGTCAGCCAAAGAATTTAAAAAGTTGAAAAGGGTTTCTCAGGTCACATGTTTTATTCTTCCTAGTATTTTCAAAGACGGCTGGGCTGAAATGTGATTAAACAGCTTTTATATAGCCTCTTTCATTATGCACGAACCACAAGGTACAATTCTATTAAGAGAAGGCTCCCACCAACATTCCAATTTCTTTGAAAGACTCCACTATATGTGGAGTTTGTTGGGTCAGCCAATTGAACTCGCAAACAATTAAATAAATAAACACCAATCTTTAAAACACACACAAGCAAAGAAGCTACAAACCTGTTGGGAAATATAAAAGTAACCATACCTTACCAAAACCATTAGTTCTTGTAATAAATCTGCACTAATGTCTCTGCTGAACAGTTGGCTCTGACTCAGGCCAGAGGTGCTTTACTGTCATTTTAATGGACTGTTTATTAATATGCAATTTGCTCCATAGAGTAGAGGAGACATGGCTAAGCAGTTATATAAATGTGCATCACATAAATTAACTAGTACTGCAGATTATGTAACATGAGTTCAGTTCCATGTATGGGAGACTTGTCTACTTTTTCAATACATTTCTTGGTTTTATAACATTTTCCCATGAAAGCTTACAGAGCAGAGTTGTATGTTGTTGGAGCAGTGGGGCCACAGTACTGGACATATTAGCTGGACTCCCCATCAGACAGGGCAATATCGTCTGGACACAGTCGCCCTGGGCAGCCTCATACAAAACATATTGGATTGTCGGAATGTGCACAATGCTTATGAAAACAAAGCTTGTGTTATGAATAATCGTGAGAGGCTGGTGTCAAACTGAGCCACCTGCTCATGTGAAAAAGCATTCTTACAACAGTGAGTATGCCCCCTCTTAGTCCAGGAGTGGAAGTTTATCAGAAAATATTTTACTATTTAACTATCAGTGTTAAAGACATGAAGAAATAAGGCTAAATGGTCTGTGCAGCACTAAACTAGGACTATAGACTAGGTATAGTTTTATTTTTACCTATACATCTTCCACTTAATGTGCCTGACAGTGTAATGGCTGAGGTTCAAGTAAAACACAAAAAGTCATCCTTATTTTTTTTGGATGAATGTAGCTGTGGCTATGTAGTTTACCTCCACCGATTACGGAGTGAAGGAATAATGTACTGTGAAGCTCCTTGGGTGTCTTGTATGTCACCTACTTGTGTCATGCGCTGTGTAAATCCAGTACATATTATTCTTATTTGAAAGATTTCACTGCAGATTTGTTAAATTTTGATCAGCTTTTTTGTACATTATTTTCAAATTTTGCACATCTCAATAACAACAAGCACAATATTATAAAATGATCGAAATATCTCCCACCTTTTATTGTGAGTGAGTAAAGCAAGCCCCTCTGACCCTTCTCTCGCCTCTCAAATCCATCTCCAGTGGTTACACAATACGCCCCCCTGGGAATGGGACTCAGTGACTGTAATATATTCATGCATCATAGTTTTATCTGATCCCTGTGGGCTGCTGCAGCATCTCTACCTCCTCTTATCTGATCTGTCACATTACAAGCACGCCCACTGCACATCAAGGTCAAACAGCCGAGTTTGCACCTGATTTATTTGTTGTGTGGTCAGAAAACAGGCAGAACGCAACCAGCCACAAATAATATCAGTGAGTCATCTAAGCTGCATACAGTTCAAATAAAATATGTGTGAAGTGTTATCTCTGGTGCAAATACAGAACAGTCAACCCATGATATGCAGAGGAGGGTTCTCATGTTTCACCAAACCACTAGATGGAGCTCTAAAGTACTGCACTTACCAATTGCACCCATGTTTGCCACAAGACAGAAAATAATGACAACAAAAAATAAATGTATTAAAACATTAAAAAAAAAGAAGTCAGAATTTAAAAAAAAAAAAGTGTCATTTTAATAAATGTCCCTACAAATAGGGGTTGGTGATATTGAGTGTCTCGATTTTGTTTTGGCGTATTCTGATAATGACATCATGCCAAGTCTTAAAATGCATTGAATGAGGTGTAAAGATCAGATAAATCTAAAGAAAAAAGAATATCTGTGTAGAAATATCACTTTCCCTTACTTTTTCATGCTTATCCTTCTTTGGAAGTTTACCACGTGCTTTTAAAAAATTTTAATCAGCATTTCTTCAATTTGAAATTATATCATCAATATTCAAATTCAGCATATATTCAAAACTATTCTAAAAATATTCTAAATAATATCAATATTTAAATAACATGTCCACCACAAATTAAAAACTAGAAAATGTGCTTGCATGCAAAAACAGATTGCCACCAACTTAAATGAAAATAGACTGACCAACACGCATATGTTCTATACATTACGATGTTAAAATTAGGCTCTTCATGAATGTACATTTTGTGTCCTAGTACATGTTAGCATTTGGGAAAAGTCACCATAAGATGAGAAATACAACACATCCGTACTGACCACTTACATCATTTTACTGTTGGCTCCTCCCATGTTGTTTTAACTGACATTTGACTTTAATTTAAAATAAATTCATTTCATTTTGACGTAAATATATTAACAAAACTACACATTACAACCACCACTAGGTTAATGCGCAAGCCCTTTGAATGTCAAGTTAAGGTCAAATAGTTCAGGAAGGGATTAGCCAACTGTATGTTTTTCACAATAACACCATAATCTGTCATGACCGCTTGTAAAGACTGAAGCAATTACAGAACATCATATATATTGAACTGCTACACATCTAGTTCCTGCACAAACCTTTTAATATTTGAATAGCCTATGTTGTTTCACCTGAGCCTTTGGGTGGTTGTCTGGCAGTTACAGCCCGGCTTAAGTCTGAGGTATTGGAGAGAATGTGTATTTTTAGGACAGCACAGGTCACTTATTGATGCTACGCACAAGGCTAATGGAAACAGGCTTTTACTGGCTTGTCAGTCCCCTTTTATGTTCAGATCCAAATTGGGAATTAGCTTGTAAGAGCAAACTGTGTCAATGTTTGTCCTACTTTTTGCGTGTTATTTATTTGGTAAAGGTGCAGTATGTAACTTTTGTGGCAGAGGTGTCCACCACCTGCTTGTCTCCATTGAGATGTTATTGCCTAGAATGTTACATATGTCCATCTTGCATTTGTTCAATGCAGTTGTTTTAACTGCTAAATAATATCTTAAAAAACACAGATCTGGCCTGTAAGTCACCTACTTGTTTTCATTGAGTTTAAAGTTTAAAACGTTTCACTGTGGAACAATCCAGTCAAAGAAATAACATCTTCATGGAGACTAATATGTGGTGGACTCTTCTACAGAAAAGTTACATAGTGTTCTGTTAACTGTTAAAACATATACCCAAACTGCTTTATCCTCTTCATATCAAGGGCAAACACA